TATGGGTCCTTCTCATGTTGCCCAGACTGGTCTGAAACTCCTGGGCTCAGGTGATTCCCCTGCCCCAGCCTGCTAAAGGGCCGGCTATGCCCGGCCAAATGAGTTCTTTCATGAATTTTAAGGTATTTTGAACAAGTGAAGGCTTTACCACACTGTTTACAGTCAAAGGGTTTTTCTCCAGTGTGGATCATTTCATGTGTCTGTAGGGAGCTGCGCCACCCAAAGGCTCTGCCACACCTTTTACATTCATATGGCTTCTCTCCACTATGAGTTTTCTCATGTCTTCGAAAACAACTGGGATAATTGAAGGTTTTACCACATTTATTACATTCATAAGGTCTCTCTCCAGTGTGAGCTCGTTCATGTGCTTGAAGGGACGAGGGACATCTGAAGACTTTGCCACATTTTTGACATCCGTAGAGTTTCCCTCCATTATGAGATTTTTCGTGTCTGCGAAGGGAACTGGAACAGCTGAGTTTCTTCCCGCATTCCTGACACTGGTGCGATTTCTCCAGCGCGTGAGTTCTGATTTCATGTGTATGAAGGTAAGTGACAGAAATGAAGCCCTTACCACATTGTTTACATTTGTAAGGTTTTTCTCCCGTGTGAGTTCTCACATGAATTTGAAATGAACTGGGATAATCGAAAGGTTTTCCGCAGTATTTACATTCATAGCGTTTTTCTCCAGTGTGCATTTTTCCATGTTTTCGAAAGAAACTGGAAACGGTGAAGGCTCTCACGATTTCCCTACATCTATAGCGCCTCTTTCCAGTGTGAGCTTGTTGATGGATTTGAAATAAATTGGGAGAATGAAAGGCTTTCCCACACACCCTGCATTCATAAGGTCTCTTTGGAGTTGGTGTTACTGTGTGCCGTGGACCACTCCTGGGAGAAATGGAGGTTTTCCCACGCTGCTTCTGTTTACCGGGCTTCTCTCCCCATTCCTCACCACACTCATGTCGTTTTTGTCCGGCGTGAGCTCTCATGTGCCTGTCCAGGAATGAATGATGGCGGAAGACTTTCTCACACATGCTGCATTTGCATGGTTTCACTCCAGTACGACTTTTCTTGTTCAGGTGACAATCTGGAATCTGGCTGAAGGTTTCTCTGTGGTCACTCCCTTCTTTACGTCCACAGAGTCTCTCCACCAGACTTCTATGAAAAATGACAAGCGCATTATCAATGTTTGGTTTATTAATGCTTTTATTAATTGGTATGTTGTCTTAAGCCTTACGCTGCTACCAAAATCAGGAAAGTGGAGGTTTTCTGCTGGGTCAGAATTATTTGAAAGGAAGTGTATTGATGATTCTGCTACCCAGCTCCTCATAGCTATTCTCCAAACAGTGATTCCATGTCACAGATTCTTAGTACCCTGTCCAGACACCCAGCACCTATATTACATTGAAAGACGGATTTTTAGTGAAAATCTTCTAATAATCAGTTAAAAACATAAGTTTGAGCCAGGCGCAGTGGCTCACGCCTGTAATCCCAGCACTTTGGGAGGCCGAGGTGGGCGGATCACAAGGTCAAGAGATGGAGACCATCCTGGCCAACATGGTGAAACCCCATCTCTACTAAAAAAATACAAAAATTAGCTGGTCGTGGGGGTGCATGCCTGTAGTCCCAGCTACTTGAGAGGCTGAGGCAGGAGAATTGCTTGAACCCGGGAGGCGGAGGTTGCAGTGAGCCAAGATCTTGCCACTGCACTCCAGCCTGGCGCCTGGGGACACAGTAAGACTTTGTCTCGGCTGGGCGTGGTGGCTCACGCCTGTAATCCAAGCACTTTGGAGGCCAAGGTGGGTGGATCACCTGAGGACGGGAGTTCAAGACCAGCCTGACCAACATGGTGAAACTCCGTCT